AACCATTACCTTTTGATTTTTCTCTAAAGAGACAGAGAGGCAAATAGCAACACCACCAACAAAGCTCAAGTCTGACTCCCAGCAACAAGCGGATGTCGGATGGCGGAGAGTGAATCAGTAGATCAATTGAACAAGCGGATGCAAAGAGTTGGACTCCCAGGCCTCATCAACTCTCAAGTGAAGAGGGAGATTAGGGAAGGGTGGTTCAATTGACGAGGACATTGCGAACGGGACGATTGGTTTTCCTCTTTAATTTTCAAATTGCAAAGACGGTTGGTTTTCTTGGAGTTTCAATCGCAGGGATAGGGTTGGGGTATTGGGGAATGAATTTTGAATCTCTAATTTCCTATATTAAAAAAAAAAATTAAAAAAAAACTTGGTGGGTCACGTGACCCACCAGGACCCACTGTGGGTCCGCCCCTGTACTAAACCCAAAATATGGGGAGGTTGAAGGTTGGCAGCCACATATTTCAATTATAATATAGAAAATTTTTGGGGAGAAATCAATAAATCAAGAATTATAACTTTAATCTACATCCACCCAAGTTAGGAATTTTGAAGTAAACCCCTTCGAAGTTATCTACAGAGCAATAACTGCTCAAAATTGAATATAGCTTAAAAAAACAGCACATGTTTTGAGTTAAGTGTCCCAATGGTCACTGAACTTATTTATGTGTCTTCAATTGGTCACTGAAGTTTAAGAAGTCAAGTTTTGGCCACTAAATTTATCCAAAGGTTGGCCGTTTCCCACTTGCATAACATCTGTTTCAAACCATTAACGTAATTAGGGAAGTGGCTAATGGAATGCACAAGTGTCAAGCCGTTAACAAATGTCACATCTTCGATTGCTCACTGAAATTTGAGGTAGTCGAATTTTGGCTACTAAACTTATATAAATGAAGTTAGCTAGTTGTTCGTTAAAAAATATGTATCGTAAACGCACGAATCGTGTAAAAGTAATAAAGTGGACAAACAAGTTTGGATTGTCGATCCCACGAGAAATAATTATTCGATTCTCAATAGTTAAATTTAATTTTAACATCTTGTTGTATAATATTAAACTATTTTTATCATTTGAAAATTAGTCAAATTTATTGTGTGTTTCATTGTTAAAATTAAATTAAAATAAAAATTTGAATTTACAACGAAACAAACAATAAATTTAGTTAACTGGATTTTGCAACAAAAAACACAATAAATTTGAATTTTTCAAATGATGAAAATAGCTTAAAATTCTACAAAAATATATTAAAATTAAATTTAACTATAGTGTAATTGAATAATCATTTCTCATTGATCGACAAGTCGAACTTGTTTGTTCATTTTATTACTTTGCGTGATCACATACTTGCGGTACACTTTTTTTAAGGAACAATAGGCTGACGTTATTTTTCATATATTTAGTGGCCAAAATTCGACCACATCAAATTTCAGTGAGCAATCGAAAATGTTTTTCAAAGTTTAGTAAGCAATCGAAGATGGAACAATTTATTAATGGAGTGATGGGACGTCACACGTGTATTCCTTTAACCATGTCACTAATTTTTGTTATCACGGATGTTATGTAGTGAATAAAGTCCAACGTTTGAATAAGTTTGATGACAAAAATTCGATATTTTAAATTTTAGTGACCAATCAAAAACTCCGAAAATGTTCTCCTGCCCGCGGCGGGCAAGCTTATAATGCCCACAACCACATCAGCAAGTGGGCATTATAAATTTGCCCGCCGCGAGCAAGAGAACGGAACGGTCAAAAACTCAGCGACCATTAACCCTATTTAAATACTGCACAGTATGACTGTGTAAAATTTTGTGTTCATCATCCTCAATATGCCACTCCATAAGCCCTTACGCAGTGCCCTCCGCCACTCACATTTCCGATCTATATCCATAAATTTACAACCACCGCCAGCGCCGGAGCCGCCTTCTTCACCTCTCTCCTCTACGCCGGACGCTCTCCTTGTGGAAAAAGCTATAGCCATCCTCAAGCGCCACCACCCATCCTCTCTCGACTCTTTAGTTCCCCATTTTACTCCGCAATCCGCCGCATATTTACTCCTCCAGTCGCAAAATAACCAAACCCTTATCTTAAAATTCATCAACTGGGCTCGCGATTTCCCATTTTTCGAAAACCTCCAATGCAATTGCATCGCTATTCACATTCTCACACGCTTCAAACTCTACAAGACCGCCCAGTCTCTCGCCGAGGTCGTCGCCGTACATTTCCCGGATGATGAAAAGGGAAATTCGGTTTTTGAATGCCTCAGGGAGTCGTACCAATTGTGCAATTCGAGCTCAGCGGTATTTGATTTAATGGTAAAGTCGTACTCTAATTTGAAAATGTTGGATACAGCTCTGAACATGATAACTTTAGCTAAATCTCACGGGTTTATGCCTGGCGTATTGTCGTATAATTCGGTTCTTGATGCAATAATTAGGGTTGCGGCATATGGGCATGTTGAGCTAGCTCAAAAATTGTATCTTGATATGATAAAGTATGGGGTTTCGCCTAATGTGTTTACCTATAATATATTGATTAGGGGGTTTTGTGGAAATAAGAAATTGGGTAAAAGTTTAGAATTTTTTAAGGAAATGGAGAGAAAGGGCTGTGTGCCAAATGTGGTTACTTATAATACTTTAATTGATGCTTATTGTAAATTGGGGAACATTGACGAGGCTTTTAGATTGATGAAATTGATGTGGGAGAAGAATTTGGAGCCAAATGTGATTACATATAATGTGATAATTAATGGGTTGTGTCGAGATGGGAGGATGAAGGAGACGGGTGAGGTTTTTGAGGAGATGAAGAGGGGGGGTTTGTTGCCAGACGAGATTACCTATAATACACTCATAAATGGGTTTTGTAAAGATGGGAATTTTCACCAGGCACTTGTTGTTCATGGAGAGATGGTAAGGAATGGGTTGTCTCCCAACGTTGTGACGTATACTGCTTTGATTAATAGCATGTGTAAAGCAAGGAATTTGCATCGTGCAATGGAGTTGTTCGATCAGATGCACTCTAGGGGATTAAGTCCTAATGATAGAACATATACAACTCTGATTGATGGGTTCTGTCAGCAGGGGTTCGTGGACGAAGCTTATAGAGTTTTGAATGAAATGATTGGTAGGGGCTTTTCACCATCCAGCGTGACGTACAATGCATTGATCAATGGGCATTGTTTGCTGGGTAGGATAGAAGATGCTTTACGAGTTATTCAAGATATGATTGTGAAAGGAGTACAGCCAGATGTTGTAACTTACAGTACTATCGTATCTGGTTACTGCAGGGATTTTGATTTAGATAAGGCATTCAGAATGAAAGAGGAGATGATTGATAAGGGAATCTCACCAGATTCTATTACTTATTCATCTCTGATTCAAGGTCTTTGTGTGCAGAGGAGACTGATGGAAGCTTGCGAATTATTTGAAGAAATGTGGAGAAAAGGTTTGCAACCTGACAAGTTTACATATACTACTCTAATTAATGCTTATTGTGTCGAAGACGATGTTAGCAGTGCTGTCAATCTGCACGATGCAATGATCAAAAGGGGTTTGTTTCCAGATGTTGTTACCTACAGTGTGCTAATAAATGGGCTTAACAAACAAGCTCGCAGCAAGGAAGCAAAAAGGCTTCTGTTCAAGTTGTTCTACGAGCAATCTGTTCCCCACGATGTGACATATGATTTTCTGATAAAAAGTTGTAGTAGTATTGAATTTCAGAGTGCGATAGCTCTAATAAAGGGATTCTGCATGAAAGGTTTGATGAATGAAGCAGATCGAGTTTTTGAGATGATGCTTGAGAGGAACCACGAGCCTAATGAAGCAATTTATAATATTCTCATACATGGTCATTGTAGAGGCGGGAACTTGAACAAAGCTATCGATCTGTATGGGGAAATGGTGCATCATGGACTTAATACTCACGCTGTTACTTTCATTGCTCTAATTAAAGAAGTCCATAAAGCGGGGATGAGTGAGGAGTTGAATCAGATTATAAATAACACATTAAGAAGTTGTAAGGTCACTGACGGTGAACTTGCCAAAGTCCTTGTTGAGGTCAATCACAAAGAAGGGAACATGGATGCAGTATTTAAAATTCTCAGTGAAATGGCCAAAGATGGCCTTCTTCCAAATAATGTCAGAACTACGTAGGTTGGCGGATGAATTGTGCGACAAATGCAGTTGGAAACTTTATTTGGAAGTTTTGGAGCTATATTCTCGTGTGGAAATGAATAGCACTAGGCAAATGAATGAGATTAATATAGAAAATTGATGTTGGGAGATGCAACCAGCTTGCCCAAAAGCTATAGCTGACGGGGGAGGTGCAGTACACCATATAACACCCAGAATCATGCCCAGCAATCTACTCCAAGTCCACTCCGTTTGGGCTTCACTTCCAAGGACACCTTACAAAGGCGCTATTGGGTCATTTCCAAATAGTGACAATAGGCCCACCCCCATATGCTGATGCATTAAAAATCTAGCATGCCTTTCAAGGGGACCTCCACTTTGGCGTAATTTTTCCGCCATCTCAAGAGGAGCCAGTCACCTTCGAGGCAAGGAAGGCTGCTCGGAAGAAAGTTGAAGAGACAGAAGCCAATGTGATGGCAGGTATTCTAGTTTCATTTTGATCAGTTTGTGGCCAATCAACCCACATTTTCGCTGGTATTTCATTTTCCCGTTTTTCGAATGTACATATGCCTGATTTATCTTCACGGAGTATATGAATATGATATCACAAAATCCCTTCCTTCTGCTTGCTCACCTCGGATGAGTTTTCCTTTCCCTATGGTCATGTCATACTTAAGAGTAACTTGGACATGGAAGTGCAAATTATGTATACCATATATGCATATTCACTTAGCAACTCTTCGCCGAAAGTGGTGATTATATCCAGGCTGGTGTGTACATACGACAAATAGGGTCGAATACACCATGTAGTCGAATGTTACCGGTAGATATTGCAAGGTTACAGTTAGAGGCGGACGCAGATATTTTAAGTTTGGAGGGCACAATCAAACCCTGTACAAAGCGAATAGTTTGTTCTTGATTTTTGAATGATTCATACTTGACTTAAGATAATGCATGTTTAAATTTAAAAAAATATTTTTTCATTAATATTGTGCTAATCATTTTCATCCATTTGATTTCAAATAATTATTTTATTAATATTTTGTTCATTAAAAGAAAATGCATGTTTACGTTTAAAAATCTTATAATGCATTTGATACAAACAATCAATTTAAGTAATTTAAAGGAAAAACATATAACTAATATTCAATAATAATCAATAAATAACATAATTCGTTAAATATAAGTCAAACTAGATATAATGAGCTCATATACATTTTATATTTTAATTACTTAAAAATTTGATTGGAAAGTGTAGCGACCCAAATTTTAAAAT